ATCCAAGAATGACTGAAGTAACGAACACAAGGACCGAAGCTTTTTGGGTGTTACATTAAAACAGGCAAAAGCCCCCAAATCAAATATTATAAACTATGGCACGCAGGCTGAACAAAAGAAAATAACAGAGAAGCTGATTAGTTGTCGGGGTGCGACTGCTCTTCACGAAAAGGCTCCTCTTGAGTAGGCTGCTCATCATCTCCAAGATTGATAAAATCGGGAATAATGATCTTCCCATTGACCACATTGTAGAGAAACATGATTCCTAATATACTAAGCTCGACATTAGGATTCACAATCCTAAGCTGGTCCACTGCATTATTGAAGCTATCGTCACTGATTTCCATATTGTCTTCCTCGGCCAAGGGGATACGAGCAACCATCTCAAACGAGTTCTAGGTTCCCTTATCCCCTTGTTTTTGTCCTTGGTCGGGGCCGTGTCAGCTTCCAAAGCAGCGACCTTATCCTCGATTTTTTTCTTATCAGAGGTCAGTTAAGCCACCTCCTCAGCCCTCTACTTTTCCAACTCCTCCTTATCAAACTTCAACTTGGTCATCTTTTCCTGAAAAGCCCCGTTGGTCGTGCGAAGGTCCTCCACCTCCTTGACGGTAGGATTCCCCTCCTCGGTACAGACCACTAGTAGCTCCAATATCCTCATCATGGCGACAACATCTTGGGAAAGAGTCTTCCTCTAGTTCGGTTGATCCAAATTCTCCAAGTGCAGAGACTCTGCCTGCGGAACCTTCAAAGAAGGACCCCCCCCCCCCTTCGAGGTAGCTCCTTTGCATCCAACGTGAAGGAAAATCATACTTTTCCGGAGATCTCTCCAAGATCAAGTCCACGGTGTCCCATCCAACTTGGTGACGCTTTCTGGCTAAACTCACTTGCTGCGGAGAAGGAGGTTCCCTGGTAGGAGTAGAAGAGGAGTTCTCTGAACCTGTCGGAGGCGAAACCACGGTGCTGCCCAAGATGCTCTTCGGAAGTTGACCTTTCTTTATCTGCTTCGACTTGTTGGATGTTGCCATCCTAACTATAAGCTCCTGGGCGTTTGACTTCTTACCTACAACAAGCAACGAGGACAAGTCAGTAAGACGATGAAAACAAACAAGAGGATAACAACAAACGCAAAATCTTCCTAAAGGGGCTAGGGCTTTCTCGTATGTAGCACAATCAAAGAGCTGATTCCTATTAATAAGCCAAGCCTCGAGTATATGCTTCATGTCCTTGTCAAGAATGATTCTCTGCGCTTAGTCACGCACTGGGCGGGGACAAAGTTGTTGACGAAAACCACCAGTTTGTTATAACTTGCCCAGTCATCCTCTTCCAAGTCGTCCGAACAGATAATATACTCCTCGGCCAGTCGATTGAAATGATCTTGATTCCAAGAAAAACGAAATCTCTGAACCTGATGCCTTTTTTTATCGGCCATCCCCTCCAAGGAGAGGATTCCCATCAGCATCCCTCATAATTTCCCAATTAAGCAAAGAATTGATGGCCCTCTCAGATACGGGCAAGATCACATAGTACCTATTATTGAATGTCTGGATGGACTCCGAGTATGCCTTGAACAGTTTCCTCGACTACTTTAAGGAAACCCATCTGAACACTCCCTCCGAGACCGTCTGCCGTTGGAGATGAAAGCAGGCAAAGAATAAAATTGTGGCCCCAATATTGAGATAATCATAAATAATCTCAAACTCCCGAGTAAAGGCCAACGAGTTGGGGTTAAGCTGCGGGGGCACCAAATCCAAATGGGCAAGAACTATCACCTGAAGATCTGAGAAGGGCAATCGAAGCCCCATCTCTCTGAAGACGTATTCGTACGTAGGGAACCGATAACTCTTTAATGGAGAACATATTTGCTCATCTTCCCCAGGGAACAATACCTTCCACTCCTCCTCGGTGCTCGACGAACTCGTCTCGCCCCCCACTGCTATGAAGGCCCCCTCGAGGAAGGAAGAAAAAAGTGAGGCTATCCCCCGTGGCTCTGGAGCAATCCATATGCTGGGCTCCGAAGCTGTCCTCTCCTCCTCGGACGTCTCTTTTTGCTCGACTATAATATCATCCTCAGAGTCAGTAGCCATTTTCACCTGAAAAGCATAGAACAAAAGTGAATTCGACGATCAAATAAAATCATCCTTCCAGCGTTAGTCAAGTTTGGCCAAAGCCCTTACTCTAACAGCAAACAAAGATAAGGACTAATTCTTCCTCGACTAGTTCAATGCCTTCCAGACAAGCTAGTCCTTAAACTCCCCCGAGGAGGATCTCCTCGACGTACTACCCAGAAATTTGTTTGAAGATTCATTGAAAACTTCATACCTTCATCGGAAAAGGCATAAACTCACTGGAAAACTCATGGGTCGACCAGGAAACTCATGGGTTCGGATAGATATAAACTCACTCACTGCCATGGCTACGACCCCAAGGCATCCAAAAGCGCATGCAGCTATGCTCTACCTCACCCTCTCGTCGGCTATAGCATCAGAAAGTAGAATAACCACCATCAGACACCAACAAATCGTTGGAGAAACATTCGTCCTAGCTTAACATATCATATCTGCATACATTTAAATAAAAAAACAGAGCTAAATATAGCTTAAGACAAAGAGAAACATGAAGCTTACGTGGACGGAGAGATTGAAGCAGTGTTCGGATGACTCGGTAACGATGGTGGACGAAAGTGTACGGTGACGACGAAAGTAGAAAGTAATCAGAGGAAGCGAAGAAGAGATAGAAGCAAAAGTATAAATGAACTGTCCTCTTCCCTATTTATAGAGTGACCTCTACACACGGGCACACGCACACGCGATCTAGGGAAGCGTAGGGGTCATCATTAACCCCAACCCCTAGACTGCCATCATTACACATTTGTGACAACGCATGGTTCGATGTAGGCATGACACACAACCTCTCCAAGTCCAATCAATTGTCCATCTCCCCATGCACCGAACACGTGAAGCAACATCTGAATTCCTCGTACATACCTATCCTCGGATAGTCCAAGGACGTCCTCGTCTCCTGCAACGAGCACCAACGACGTAGTCCCCACCTCGAAACACAAGCTACTCTAAGTCGTTACCCTTATGCCTAGGAGCAACGACTTGGGGGGCTCCTGTTTTGGACAGGCTCAATGACTAGACATGGCCCAACCCACTTCTACGTCCGAAATGACCCAATAGTTTTAGCCTAATCAGTTAGGACATACAAAGGACACTTCACCCTTTTACCCCTCACCCGAGGAGTTGTAGTCATTTAACCCCCAGGGTCTACAAGGCCACTCCTTCCCGCTCAAACAGGCTAGTCCTCGCCCTGCCAGCTGCACGAGGATAGCCACCTAGGAACTATCAGAATCATGCTTTTTCGTGAATACTCCTCTGCACGTTATAACAACTAGTTCCAATGACTTCTGCCCGTCATAACGGCTATTTCCTAACAGTTACCTATTTTTCAGGAATCTGATATCTAGGTCCAAAAATAGGGACCAATGGCCAAGCGTCGGGGACATTATATAAATCCTCACACTTGTGAGGGTCAGGTATTCAATATTGATCACCAACTTCTAAAACCCTAGACATTTCTATCTTGTATCTCTTTGCACTCTTTCTTACTGAGCGTTGGAGTACCTTGCAGGTACGCCCCTCCTCCTCATTACCAGCTTTGCAGACGAAGATATCTGCCCTTCCAAGTTCTGATCACGGGTAAGATCAGTGAACAAGGATATTTTCATTCAATTTAGAATAGTGTCAGATTCAACTTAGAGAGTAACAAGTTAAAGGGAATTTCTCATCCCACCCTATACATTTGAAAATAACCCTATGACAACCCAATTTCCCCCTGCATTCCCGAAAGTGTATTTTCGGGATGCACCTTTTTTTTGTTAAACTTTAGTTAATCCCTGACATGCATTTCCAAAAGCATCCACACACATATATTTCATTTATTTTTTAACTACACCCTAATTTTACGACTTCATTAATTCCAGAAATGTATTTCTAAAATTTTCCGAAAATACATTTTTGATACTTAACCTAAAATTACAAGAAAAAATGGCAAAATTATATATATATTGTGTTATATAATTATATTTGTGTCGGTTACCAAGAAAATGCAATATTTAATGTTTTTTTAATAACATTCAAATTACATACCTTGTAATGAATTTAAAAATAGTGTTGTTAATTCTCAAGTTTGTAAAACATTAAAAGATTATTAAAACAACGAAGATTCGTAATAATATTGGAGTTTTATTGTAAAATAGACAATAAACGTATTCTTATTATTATTTTAGATTAATATAATTGAATTCAAAATCATAATAATGTTATTTTATTTATCTCATTAAATTTATACATAAATGTTATTATATAAATTTATTTAAAAATTTATATATAATTGTTCGATATATTTTGTTGTCATTTTTAATCTTAATACATATTAATTTTTTTTTTTGCATGTGTTTGTCAATATATTTATTTTTATTTTATAAAAATTAATTTAGTTATATAATATAATAATATAATAATATAATTGAGACTATTAATTCTTAATTAAAAATATCTTTTTATATCATTTTATATTTATCAATTACTATAACAAGAAATTTATCAAACATTCAAATTAACTTATTACTTATCAGCTATCAATTATGAACTACCAGCTATCAACTACTAATTACAAATCATCAGCTACCAACTAATTTTACTAAATAGAACCTAAATCATGACTAAAGATTTACCAAATTCCGTCTTCGATCTAATTTTTAAATCATCGCTGAAGGCTACAACAAGATCTTCATTTTCTTACAACTTTCAAAAACTAAAACATTAATTCCTGGCGCTCATCAGTAACAAGAAAAAAAATAGAGAGCACGAATTTATAACCAAAAAAATTACATGTCCAAAGAATTTAAATTTTGAAGAAATATTTTTTTTTTTGCAGAAGCTTAGTAAATATCACCTTAAACTATATCTCGAGAAATAATAACAAAAAAGTGAGGTATGTTATATTACAGCTGCTTCTAGTAAGAATTGCAAAACAGCTTCTTTTGTAGGAAGTGAAGGAATTGCTCCTCTTTCTGTTACAGTTATGGCACCACATACATTAGCAAAATACAAAGCCTTTCTCAGTTTTTTCTCATCCTGCCAAACAAAACAAATATAAAGCATCAATATCAATTAATCTTAAAATTAAGCAGAAAATAAGCAATTATTAATGAGTGAAGATTGAAAGTAACCTTGAAAATAGTTTGGTCAGAAGCTATATTGTATAGAATTCCACTAACAAATGCATCACCAGCACCAGTTGTGTCAACAGGTTTAACTTTAACACCTCCAACTCTGCCTCTAAATTCCTGTACAGAAATTTGGATCCGCGATTACGCCATGTTTGGATAAATAGCTTAATAAAGCACTTATATGCTACAAGTAAATGATCATAAACTTAATTTGATTGAAAAACCATAGTCACATAATTCGCCAAAACTGTTGAGAACCGCGAATTAATTCGCACGAACTGGTTCACGGTATTTTTGTAAACCGGTTCTTCACAATTCTCCAACAATTCACAAAAACCGACGTACCACTATAATATATTATAAATGATAAAACTTTAAACTATTTCACTATAAAATCGACTCAATAAAGCCCTTAGGGACTCTGTTAAGTGTTGGACACGTCGGTGTCTATATCGTCTGTATACAGAAATACCGGCCAAAATTGATTAGGAAAGCATACCTGTGTGTAATATCTACAACCCTCGGACCCTTCGGTAACGATCAAGAGTTTGAGATTAGGATGAAAAAGTTTCTTCAAAACAACATCATCATCATAAGGATCATCACCTCCAGTCAAAAATGTAATCTCATCTTCACTTATCTTAATGACATCGGCTTGATCCCATATACTCATTATGCCATTCCGAGCAGCCTCTGCAGACGGCCATAACGCCAATCTCAAATTCGGATCGTAAGAGAGAATGCAACCCGAGTTTTTGGCAATGTTCATAGCAGCAATGTGTGCTGATTTGCATGGATCATCAATTAAACTAATGGAACCATAATGGAAAATTCTAGCCTGAAAAATCAATATATCAATCGACATCATTAACCGAAACATAGGTCTTGAAGTATATGTCAGGAAACAAAAACAAATGAAATTTCAAAATACCTGCTTTAGGAGATTTCTATCAAGTTCTGATTCTTGAAGAAGCATATCAGCACTTGGATTCCGGAAAAACAAGAACTCGCGCTCGCCGTCAGATTTAAGCGTGACAAAAGCTAATGCAGTTCTTGCATTAGTGTCAAACCGCATGCCAGAAGTATCGACATTGTTTTGCTTTAAAATATCGGCCAACATGTAACCAAATTCATCTGCTCCAACCTTATATACACAGACAATAAGAAAATAAGATATGATTTTCAATTATGCATTTTTTTTCAATTTTTCTAAATTTTTATTGCAGGTGTCAGAGTGTCCGTGTCGTGTGGTGTCCTGGTATCCGTGTCGGAGTTCATGCTTCATATCATATGACAGATATGTCTCGGTCATAGTTATCAGAATCATGAATCGAATCTTATTAAGAATAATAAGATAAACTACATTACCAATATAAGTATAGAATTAATCAGAATTCTCAGTACTGAAACTTGAAAAATATCTTCGTGAATGTGCGAATAGATAGTAACAAGGAAGTGAAGAAATCAAATAACAAAACAGACCAAAAGAAACTTATTTAAAACTATACCTTGCCTATGAAAGCAGATGAACCGCCTAGTCTAGAGATACCAACAGCTACATTGGCAGGAGCTCCACCAGGAGCTTTCTTGAAATCCGGTGCCTCCGCGAGTGAAACTCCTCTGACTGTTGGCACAAAGTCAATCAGCATTTCCCCAAAGGAAACCACCAATGAACTTGTTTCCTTATGGTCTTCTTTTGTAAGACCATTGGTTTCAACTGCAAAAAAAAATGTAGTAGCTTTAATCAATATAAGTCATGGTTTCACTGCATTTTACAAGTAGCTACTGAGAATCTAATTGAAGAGAATTTAGTCAAGAATTGAGCACATCAAGATGCTGTCATTTAAGAGGCATACGTCGACACTAATAATAATTTGAAATTTTTTATAATTAAATTACATGTGTCAGTGTCGTGTCTTTGTTATGTCAGTTACAGACACATGTCGGACACTTGCCACATTTACACAGTTGTTTCTAACTATTGAGAAGAGAAAAATCAACTCAAATACGGCCTTACTTGAACAGGATCTGTTCTATAGATTTGTACAACTGTGTCCTTGATTTCTTACGACATAGGAACCTAAGAAGAATCAACTCAAACATGTTCTTATATGTGCCCTTTCTTTCTCCACAACACAGATCCACCAAGTTTAAGAAAATGGTATTTCAAATTTGAGTAATAAACATTAACTTGTAGCAAACAGAACCATCAAATGTATCATTAGTTCAAACAATGCGATTCCCAGTTCCCTACATTTATGCCCCTAATGCAGGATCAACTTAAATGCATGTATGACAAAAGAAGTCGTTGTAATCGTGTCACGTAGTTGCAAATCTCTGCTGTTAGATCTCAATCCAATGACAACATTTGATGACAACGGTTCCGGACCGTCCACAAGTTCCAAAGTGCTAAGGCCCAATAAAGGAGCAACCGTGCATTCAGTGCAAAACAAACGGACTCCTTCCCCTACTGAACAAGAAATCCTTCTCGCAAACACCTTGCCAACCATCCAGATCAATCTGGCGGCCGACCACAATCCACACCTTGTCATACGCATTCAATTGCCAACCATTTCCCCTATTTATAGAAGAAAGCGCATCATTTCTCAGATATTCAAATCCTATCTCATTCAAACATCACTTTTCACTGTCATATTTATTTGAGCGTTGGAGTGCTAATCTTGCAGATCAATCTCTTCTCCAGTGTATCGGAAGTCCAAGACCACCACAACAAACTCACCCTCATTTTCCGATCAACTCCAGTTCCACAACGGAACAACAACAACCTTATTTGAACATTCCAATCTCAAATCATATATTTTAACCACAGAAAATCTAAATCCTCGCTACTATGTCGTGTTAGTATCAGTATCGTGTCTAGTGATTGTTTTGCTGATTCATAGCAGACGCACTACTCTAAAATCCAACCAGATATTTCAAATCATATCATCAACTACCAAAAGCTAATATAATAGTACTATACAAATATTAAGACTAAATATGAATTTGATTGAAGAAATGTCACATGATGTTTTTTTTTTTTTGTCTCTATCCCATCAGCAGTAAAAATCACTCAGAAAAGTTCCCTTATCAGATTCATTGAAACAAATCAAAATAGAGCAAAACCCAAAGATACAAACTTTATCTCATTCAAACAACAACAAAATAACAATAATGAAAATAATACATGTTTCTACGAAAACAATAACACAGACAAACAATAAAAAAAGTGAAAAAGATCGAAGACAAAACCTGAAGAGGTAGTAGAATGAGCCATTAATAAAAACAATGAAGATGCAACTATGTTGTTGAAGTATGAGAGAGAGAATGAAAAAGAGGTAGATGAGAATAAGGAGAGAAATGGGTTGGTGTTAGAATAGTATTTATGAATGAGAAAGGTGACAGCGAGAAATTCAACAACAATTAGAGTATAGCACACAGGTTTCTCCAACTATGTCACTTGTTGTTTTCTTGTAATTTTCATGCTGGTTTGATACATTTCATGTGGACACAACAGTTACAAGTTTATTTTATTAATTTTAAAATGAATAAAGTAACTTTTATTAAATTAAATATCATTGGTTATTTTATTGTGTTTTAAATAAAAAAATTAAAAGTGTAAAATAATTTTACACTATCTTCAATAAAATTATAATATTATGTTATTAGTATTTTTAAATTAAAAATATGACTTGATTAAATACACACTTTTGATAGATTGATAATGTAAAAATATTTTATAAATATTTTTTTTTCTCTTAAAAAATTAATTTAATATTTTAAACTATCATATTAAACTACCACGCAATATTTTAAAAATAGATTTGGATTAAAAATTGAATCGGTTAAGTTAAAAATTGGATGAGTAACAGATTTTTTCTTGTTAAATATTAAATTGAGGTTGTTTTATAATTATTATCTTTATTCTATTCATGAAAGAAATCGGAATAAAATTAATAAACATAGAAATTCAATTGAAGACGACATTTTGTTGACTTTTTTTAAGGATTATGGTTTTTTAGAAATTGAATTATACGACAAATTCACTCGATTTTACCTGAATCAATCATTCAATTTACCCATGAATTTTCTTGTTCGACAACCAACCTCTTACCTTGTAATCTTTATGGATCAATGTCTAAGCCGATGTTAAAAATATGCGTTAAATATATTTTTGATCTTTATAAATATCTCAAATTTCATTTTTAATTCCTATTAAAAAAATGATAAATTTTGATCTCTAAAAATATTTGTTCATCCAGATTTAGTCACTGCTATTTTCTAAAATTTTAAAAACTATTTAATTACCCTTAAACTTTTAAATTTTTGAATAATATTTTTGATATGTGTTTAGAATACTATAAAATATTTCTTTATCAAATTTTAGAAGTTTTTAAAATGAGATGAATTAAATATGATTTTTTTAAATTTCAAAAGATATTGATAAAAATAATGAAAATCTCGAGTGAGAAATCAATTTTTGAATTTTTTTTCCAAGAAACTTTTTATAACGTTCTAAACATATCTACAAAATAATTATTCAAAAATACACATTGATTTAATAACAGAGACTAAAATTCTATGCATGATAATTTTTTACAGACTAAAACATGTCATTATTTTAATAAGGACTAACAATAAAATTTAAGATATTTATAGGAATCAAAAACATATTTATGTATTAGAAAATTAAGTGTACTAAATAAGTTTTTTTAACACATTAAAATTATCACTTTTTATGATTGATATTTCTTCTTGATACACTTATTAGATAAATACTTCACTTTTAAGTGTATTTTTTTTAATATTAATTAGTATGCATTGTTGTTTTGACATAGTTTGACTCATAGACTATACTGGTTTAAAAATATCATATGGAATATTCTCTAGTGATTAAGAATTGTTAGAGGTTTTAAATTATGTTATAGGGTTAAGAGTTAGCTCTAGTAGGGGGAGGGAGGAGTTATGTGTTTGTGAATTTGTGTGAGAATTTGATTGTCAATCTCAAGAGCGGCGTATAAATATCGAGTTTAAATTATTGTCCAATTAAACAACTATGATTTGGTTGAGATTCAATTAATAAAATACTTGTGAATAAACTAGATAAATTTATAAGACGGTTTTGACAAATATGAGTAACATATTAGGGAATGTGTGTGATTCATTCCTGTAACATGTTACTGGTACTTAAGGGTGTTTACTCGTAAGTCTTTAGTGAGAAAACTTTTAATCATTCATCCTAAGCCCTATGTCCATAGAAACTTATCATGAAATTAAGCATAATTAAATCAAGAATAATCAGGTTACTATAGGATATCCCTAGTCTTAGGTGATATTTACTATTGCATATTCTCATGAAAGCATTATCAATGGTGATCCAACATAATTGATAATCATACAACAATCTCAATTTGTCCGAAAGAGAAAGTATTAAGAAAATCAAGAGGATAAATTAATAATGAAAAATACGATTGTTATTAAAAATATGAAGTCTAAGCCATTACAGATTTAAATCAGGGACACCCCCTAACATTGAGGAGTTTAGCCACTCATAATATTCAACAATAATAACAAAATATTAGGATTAGACATTACAGATACTATGGTAGAATTGGATCTTCAATCGCTTCCGTTTATGAAAATTTGTCGTCCACCAACGTCTCTGCGTTCTCCAATCTTCGATATCTCTATGTTTGTCGTATTGTTAAAAAGATCCCTAATTCTTATTCAAAACACACTTAAATAGAAAAATTTCTCCTTCCAAGGATTCAAATTTCAAGTGGATAAATAAAATCTGGTCGAAAATGTCCAAAACACCCTTTCTGACCGAAACACTGACAAAACAAAAGCAAAATTCAGAATCAGCGTGCACGCCTGACACGTGTAGTGTCAGGCTGACATGAGCACTTTCAGGTTGACACAGGCAGTATCAGCTGACACGGTCAGTGTCAGATGACACGGGAAGCCGTGTCAGACCCCTATTTTCTAATTTTTTCTTGATTTGGTCCCAGCCATCCTGACACGGACAGTGTCAACTGACACGACCCCCGTGTCGAACCTTTGGTTTCCGTTTTACAAATGTTGTTTGCCTAACACAGGCAGTGTTAGCAGACACAGGAAGTGTCAACTGACACGGGTGGTTGTGTCAGACCCCTGTTTTCTGAAGTTTTCTTGATTTAGTCTCATCCATCCTGACATGGGCAGTGTCAGTTGACACAGCCCCGTGTCAGACCTTTGATTTCTGTTTTACAAATGTTGCTTGCCTAACACGGGCAGTGTTAGCTGATACGGGCGACCATGTCAGACCTCCTGGAGTGTGTAGAAAATTGTTTTGAATTCTTGCAATTTTTCCTGATTTTCGCTCTGATTCTTCTTGAATGCTTACTTGAACCTAAAAACATTAAAGAGACACAACCAAAGCATAAAATGTGGAAAAGGGAAATAAAGCATTTAAAAATAATGAAACAATTAACTAGAATTAACGATAATTAAAGGTGTAAAAACCACTGATCAAACTCCCCCAAACTTAGATCATTGCTTGACCTCAAGCAATAAATACAAGAGCTCATGGAATGCAAAGTATGGCGGTATTCATACGCGAGACTTCTGTTCACATTAATTAAGAAGTAGTTCGTCCGATATTCACATGATACAGAGAGTTTTTGGAAGAACACTTGTAACCTAAGCTTCCCTTTCATATACCTCTCTAACTATGCTTTGTACTTAAGTCTTTTTCCAATTTTCCTCCTTTTCCATTTGGACGATCACATTAAGGAAATGATAATTATGATGATCATTACATGCACAAGACTAATCAAGAATTTTCTCTTTGGGCACCAAATAAGCACCAATTGCTACTTTTAATTACCGATGAAATTTTCAAAACTTTTCACTTTATATATTGTCCTTATTTGGATGACCTTTGAGAATCAACCTCCTTTGGGCTGAATAACCGGATAAGGGTTACCCAACTTAGAGGTTCAGTTGTCTTATACGGCCTTTTCATCATTTGGTGCCACAATTATTTATTTCTCAACCAATCATACATACATGTGAATCTAGATTATGCCAGACTGTCAAGATAATCTACTAAAGGAGTACTTCTCAGGATTCAAGTAATATGGTATAAATCTATACGTTAGAATCATATCACTTTTTAGGGAACCTAGGGTTTTCAAACAAACCCCTTTTTATCACATTATTCCGAACTTCCTACCCTCAAACAATCATCCATTTGTCTCTACATACTATTCTTGATCTCTTTGAAATACAAGCTCTTACGCAAAATAAAAAATTTCGGTCAATCTCCGGGGAGAACTTCGAAGTATTGTTTTAAACCAACAAAATAACATAAAACAAACACACAGAAACAAACCCCCTCTAAACTTGAACTAGACATTGGCCCCAACGTTTTAGAACAAGTGCGAGAAGTGTTACTCACAAAGATCCTTACTAAGGAAGTAGAAGGTAATGCAACACCAATTGCTACATTATAGCTTGCACCTGTAAGGACATGTTTATTACCTACAAACGAAAAAAAACAAACACAACAAGAAAATGTTTAGTCATTAAAAGCATGAGTTGCCTCCCATGTAGTGCTTCGTTTAACGTTGCATGGCTCGACGGTTCACTCCTCATTTTTATGGGGGATATTTCAGCTTCCACACCTTGTTACTTGTCCTTCCTGCAACACATAAATGATCTACTTCAGAGATAAATGCTACTTTGTCCTCAAGTCACCTCCACTTTCCATATCCTTACCTTGATGCTCCTTTTTCTTTCTCTTCTTAACTTCTTGAATGAACTTTGGAGCTTTGTTATGTGTTATAGATGAATAAGATAGTGCAACCTGATAGATTATGCCTGAGACTTTTTCTGGAAGTGGTTTTGAACTTTTTCTTTCTCACACTATGTTGATCATGACAACTGAAGATTGGTTAACTTCACTTTCACCTTTCTTCTTGATGTCTAACACATTCAAAGTTATTTCCTCATCAAAAGATTTCAAGGTCAGAGTACCTTTTTCAATATCCACTTTGCATCGACTAGTACGCAAGAATGATCGACCAAGGATAATAGGGGTCTCTTCATCTTCTGGAATATCCATGATCTCAAAATCAACTGGAAAGACAATTTTTTCAATTTCCACCAGTACATTTATATACCAAGCTTTTGGAAGATAGTTAATGGCATTAAGCTCACACTAGCATTTGAATCAATTAAAACCTTCTTGAAAGTTCTGACTTTTATAGTGCAAGGTATTGCAACCGATCCAGG